GGGGTCTTTAGAACCAGAACTCTGCCCTCAATATTTTCCCTGTCCACCATTTCTCTTGCTGATTCCTGGGCACTGGGTACAGATGGACCCACTGCCCGCCCTCAGATCTTCAGGGCCTGAGAGTCTTGGGTTAGTATCTCCTTAGAGCAGCCCTGTCTCATTAAAACAACAATAAAAATCTCACTGCCATCGAGTCAATTCTCACTCAGTGACCCCATAAGACAGAATAGAGTTGCCCCTTTGGGTTTCCAAGGCTATGAGTCTTTATGGGAGCAGAAAGCCACATCTGCTGGCCTGGTGGTTAGCAGCATAGTACATAGGCCACTAAGTCACAGGGCACCCAGCTCATGGGCATGCCATTTTACTGGGGAGGAATCTGTAGCTCTGAGCGTGAGAGCCAGGAAATAAATCCAAATTGGATGAACTCTAAAAGTTGTGCTCACTTGCCACTCTATCTGCTGTGGGTCCTGGAGTAGAGGCTGAACACTGTTGGTCCTGAGAAAGCGCATCACTGTGTCCCGCAGAGAGTGAGTTGGGGATCGGCTCCCTGCTCCTCCTGATCTGCTTCCACAAAGCACATCCACACCAGAGCATGATGTAATTGCACTCTTTGTGACGGTGTGTGCCCAAGATTGTTTTGGATCTTGGCCATTTTGTTGCCAAAATGGTGATCTACACAAACCAGGGTGACCTAATTCTTTTTTGTGTTTCCTCTCCATGGTTTTAAAACTTTTTTGTTGTGAATTAGGTGAAGGTTTACAGAGCAATCGTTTACACATTCAACAATTCACACCTTTTGTTTCAGCTCATGCACTGCAATCCCCTCCATGTACCTCACGTATCCCACTTGCTCCCTGGGATTCCTGCTTTCACTTCCCCTTTGTTCCTAACACTTAGGAACTTTGTACAGGTGCAGCAGGACATTGACAGGGAATTGCCAGAGGTTCGGGCCAGATTCAGAAGAGGAGGTGGAGCAAGCAAGACGAAATACTTGACAACTTCAATCTTTTCTGTTTGCCATCATGTTAGCTACTGTTTCAACAGTGAGAATTTTTCTTATGTTCACATTGAGTTGTGATCCTTGATCTTCATCAGCAAATGCTGATGTCAGCATTGCCGATGTCACATGGATCTTGGTTGGAAGCAGAGAATAATAGAAAGATGTTGGTGTTTTATGTAACTACCACAGAGCAACATGAAATTATGTAGCTACAACGATAACTCTGAGATCAAAAGAACTAGAAGGTGCCCAGCTATGGCTACCAACTGCTCTGGAAAGGATTATATTTGAAAGTCCTGGATAGAGTGGGAGAAAAATGTGGACAAAACTCAAAACCATAAAATAGACTAAACATGCTGGTCAGATAGAGACAGATGAAATCCAAACACTATGGCCATTAATCACCCTTCGGGTCTGGAAATGAACTCACTACTCCCTCTGTTATGAATAAACAACTGATTTTTTAAAAGACAGCATTTCCCTAATTCTTATTTCTAGAGTTGGCTGAAACAGTGAAGAACTCACTCCAGTGAACCCCTTCACACCTGCTGGGAAGGCAGAAGACGAGCCCAATCACCCTCACACCACATGGCACAGAATAGCCCACTGTAGACAGACAATACAACCTATGTTGGTGAGTTAACAAATGGAGCCTTGACAGCTTGTGAACAGCCTTAATGACAACTACTGGTCTCTCCACATCTGGAGAAAAGACTAAGAAAGAAAATCTAAGACACATGGAAGCAGTTTGTCCAAAGAACTAACGGGCAACTCAAACCTCAGCCTCCACGACCCTGAGACCAGAAGAACTAGATGGTGTCCGGCTACCACAGCTAACTGCTTGACCACAAGAGGCAGAATGGGAGAAACGTGCAGAACAGAACTCAAAATCATAAAAAAAAACTAGTTTGTTTTCGGTCCCATAGAGATCAGTGGAACCACTAAGACTATGGTCCTTAGTTAGTCTTCAGGCCCAGAGCTCAACTCACCCGCCTGGATCTCCTTTCAGTCAAACATCAGACAAGCCTATATGGGGAATAGTAACCCCAGACAGGTATCCTTTCCTTAGAACAACCAGCCATGGAGATCGGAAGGGCAGCACTTGCCAAGGGATAAAGCTCAGAAGGCAGGAATAGATAAGAAAAAAAAAGAAGAAGAAGATGAATGGAAAGGGTATACTGTGGGGACTGTCAGCTTCATGAAACAGAATGGCCATGCACTGTTGAATGGAAAACCAATTAGCTCTGTACATTTTCACTCAAATCACAATACAAAGGTAAAAAGAGAAAAAGAAAAAACTGCTTATCACATGATGTGTTCATTCCATTGGCTAAAGAAAAGCAAAAAATAAAAATAAATAAACGAGTCCCTTTCCTCCAACCCCCTCTACCTAGTGTCATCTTAGCCAGCTGTCAGCCTTGGGCTCTAATAGAGGTTTATATAAAGGCACATGACCAGAAATGACCTTGGATGACACCCAACCGAACTCCTGCATTTGGGCCTCGGGTGCAGGTTGAGCACACACTGGTTAAATCCCATTACGGGGCAGTGCACAGGACATGCAAGAGGTGGAATGTCATTAGACAGTTAGAAATCACATTAGCCCAAGCTCGGGCAGACGGAAATGGCTAGGCTTTCTACAGCGCATCCACGAGAAGGCAAGTCTTTTTTTGGCACACCCTAGAAGAAAGGGGTGTCATTCACAGTCCCACACCCACACCTGCAGTCTCTGATAGCTGCTTGTGTTGTCACATTTGTGCCATTTCTACAGGTTGATCCATCGATGGGACTGGGGGGAAGCTAGATAGAGAATAATAATAAAACACTCAGACTGGCCCCATAGGACAGAGTGGAACTGCCTCTGTGAGTTTCCCAGACTGTAACTCTTTATGGGAGAAGAAATCTCCATCTTTCTTCCAAGGAGCCACTGGTGATTTTGAACTGGTGACCTTGCGGTTAGCAACCCAAGGAGAAACCACTATTCATCTTAACAGTGAGTGGCGGAAATCCCAATTGTACTTTATTCCAATTCTCTTCCTTCACTTTCACAGACTATAGGGTTAAATATTTTCCCTAAAGACCAGGGCTTGGACAGGAATCTGTGACTCTCCAGGCTATACATCCAACACAGTGTCTATGACGGCCAAGTGTCCCAGGAGACCCTACTTGTGTAGACTAGGTAACAATGTCATGGCTGCTCATTCTCTAGCCCTTCCTCCCCCTGCCAATCCTCCGACCCTTTCCAAAACAAAACCACCTCCAGACCAGGGGTGCCCATGGTCCCAGCAGCGGGACCACAGATCAGCTTCTAAGGAAGGGTTACCCAGTCTGTCGTCCCACTATACAAAGATGAGCTCAAGTCCAAGAACAGCCAAAGGGGAGGGAAAAAGACAGAGAGCGGGAGAGAAACGGCTTCTTTTCTTTAGACAAACACGTGCTACGCTTTACGGAGTCTGGCATGTGTCAGCATTTCTGAAGTTAACTCTGCTTTCTTTAGATGAAAGAGATTTAAAAAAAAGGAAACACTAAGAATTTAGCTCAGTGAAAATTGCTCTGGCCATTCACATATAATAAAACGGGAGAAGAAGGAAAAAATCAATTGCTTCTGATTCGTTCATTCATGCGTCCATGTACCGTAAAAGAAGGCTGTCTTCCACACGCAAGTCATTAATTTCCATGAAAAAAAAGTAATCCAAGCCTCCCATTGGTGGCCCAACTTCCTGGAACTGGAAGTACCTATTTATTGGTTCCCTGATGTATAGATTATGTAAGAGAAAAGGAGAGATTCATCGGCTTCATCAGTATCTACAGTCAGGGAGCCACCACCGTGACACATTAATTAATTCTTGGGAATTTAGGATCAGGTGTCATGTCAAAGGTCACTACAAAGCTTCATCTTGTTAGCAGCATTTTTTCTAAATCCAAGTTGCAGTGACACTAGTTGCTGTTTTAATATTCTCTAGACCTTTTTGTAGGTCTTAGTATTTCATATTGAATATCCTTCCATCCTCCAATCTACCAGAGCAGACTCTATTCTGGGCTTTCCCAGTGCTCAGAGCAAGGGAGGAGACTGAGAAAAGCCAATGGGTACGTTGCAAACAAAGAGTAGAAAGTGTAAAGACCAATTTGGGAAGCATATTTAGAGTTTTGAACCCACTGTGAATAATTGACATCTCTTAAGAAGCCCTGGTGCCACAGTGGATCCTGTGTTGGCTGCGAGCCACATGGTCAGCAGTTCGAAACCACTAGCTGCTCCGAGGGAGAAAGAGGAGGCTTTCTACGCCTGTCAAGAGTGACAGAAGCAGTTCTACTCCATAGTGTCTCTATGAGTCAGAATCACCTGGATGACAGCGAGGCTGGGGTTTTTTCTTTGGTTGTTGTTTATTACAGGAAAAGTAGTTCCCATAACCATCCCTCTACCCGCAGACAGTTATTGGATCCGCCTGTTGAGAATGGATGATGAGTTGGTCACACAGAAATCCCAAGACACAGTCATCGCATGTTCCCTCTCCCAAAGGCTTCTCAATAAGAGCAGGGCTTTTCCCCAGCAGGCAACTGGAAACAACACAGCCCTTCGATCAAAGCTCCAGAGAAAGACGGCCCTGAAAGTTGACGCGGGACTGGTTTCTTTTCTGGATACCCCAAGACTAACTGGCGCTACTTCCTTCCCAGCACAAGCACAGGCAGACCCTACCCACCCACCACCACCCCCCAGGGCCTCCAGAGACACCGCCACATCAGCAAAGCCCACTGTGAGCACCGATAATGGGAGGAAGGCCTGGTTTGTCAGCCTCGCCTGCTTACGCTGAAATGTCATCTCTGCCCCACCAACGTTAACAGATGGCTGTCCCCATCTGTACACAGGCACAGCATCTTCAGAATTACCTCCTCCTTTCCACAGCTCCAACCAATTAAATATTGATGAACTACGTTCCAGCCAAGGAGGGGAGAGAATGAACCCGGCAGACAGGGGCACATCGACACGCCACAGCTCTCCTACCTTCACCCGACGACCCCGAGAGATCAATGATCACATAGACTCTTCCTTCTGGCTCCAGATCGATCTGCAAAGAAGAACACAACAGGGCCTCCGTTAGTGTGCCGTGCGGTGAGCAGCCCGGGTTTCCACGACATCTCTACGTCCGGCTGCTAAAGCCCAGAGTCGCAGCCCCATTCCACTCACCCACCTATGCTGTGCCGGGTGCTGGGGGCGTCAGGAAAGAAGGAGGACCAGTACTAATGGAGTGCCCCCCTTTGTGGCAGTGCCCAGCCTGTTTTGGTCCCCAGGGGACACTTGACTGGTGACAAAAATGTCCGGTGATGCTTTGGACCGTCAAGACTGGAGTGGAAGGTCGTCCTAGGCACCCCATGGGTGGAGCCTACAGAAGAGCCCCCAGTGCATTACACAGTTGCCAGCCAGCCCAGCCCACCCCCAGAGACAACCATGAACCAGCCATGTTGCTGGTGCTGAGGTTGGCCAACCCTGCGTCATCTCGTGGGCAGACACGTAGACTAGACTCAGCCGCACGGTGGGAGGCGCCACGGAGATTTTATGCCAAGACTGGGTAAGGAAACCTACACACCGTCCCCAGGAGATTTTATGCCAAGACTGGGTAAGGAAACCTACACACCATCCCCAGGAGGAGCCGCAGGAGGCCCTCTCCTTGTTTTCAAGGGGCTGGTGATCTCAGGAACCTGGCTGCCCCACATGCATGGAGAAGGCCAAAGAAATGCTACCCATTCCCGATGTCCCGGAGAAGGACCTCCTGCTTGGTCAAGGGGAGGGGCAGCGAAGGAGGGGAAGGCCCTCAAGGAGATGGGTTGGCACAGGGGCTGCATCCGTGGGAGCAATGGCGAGGGTGGCGCAGGGCCGGGCCGTGTTCCATTCTGTGGCACGTAGGGTCGCTATGGGTCGGAGCCGGCCCGGTGGCGGCTAGCGACGACAAGAGCCGAGGAGACAGAAGTCGAGTAGAAGAGCAGTTGGAAGACTTCACAGGGACGAGCAAGGGTGGGCACTCTTGGGGAAAGTAATAGCAGCAGCAAAGGTGTGTGTGTGTGTGTGTGTGTGTGTGTGTGTGTGTGTGTGCAGGTGCAACGAGCCTGGTGCAGAATTAAGAGTCCCCAGGCAGCTCACCAGATCTGCGGAACAGCACAACACAACATGCTCCCCTCACTCTGACCCCTTCCTACCCCCCACCCCCCCAGCCCCCAACACCCAAAAAACCAAACTCACTGTCATCAAGTCATTGATGACTCATAGTGACCCTACAGGACACCGTGAGCTTCCGAGACTGTAACTCTTTACTGGAGTAGAAAGGTCCGTCTTTCTGCCTCAGAGAGGCCAATGGTTTCGAACACTGACCTTGTGGATCATAGCCCAATGGGTCGCCACCATACCACCAGGGTTCCTCTCCACACCCCTCCAGACCCCGCTGACCCTTCCTAGTCTACTGAATCAGGCTGATGGGAGGTGTGACTGGAGGACAGTCGGAGGGGCTGGCCTCCTCGGGCTATGAGGTCTTTGCAGGGTCTGGGAAATCCCTACGGATGCTGTGTTCTCCGGGAGACACAACGGTCACCCGGGAAGCCCTGCAGCAGCCGTTCCCGCTCCGCCACCTCTGTCCCACAGAAATGGACCTGCCTCAGGGGTGCCAGGCTCGGCACCCTACCAAACTCCTGAGAGTTCCTTGAAGGCAGGAACCACCCCAGGGTGTTTTTCTCATGGTTCCCCACAAAGAGCCGGCACACGTTTGGCAAGTCATTCTTAGAAAGCACCCGCTGTTTGGACACCTCCTTCTCCAAGGCTCAGGGAAATTGTCCCCTCCTTTCTGGAGCCATTCCAGGTCTGCCCAGTCAGAATCGTGGCTCCTATCCAGCCGTGAGACACTGCCCACAGAGATTGTGGGGAATCGTATTTGCATGCCAAGTGCTAAGCTGAAGCCCCTGGGTGGCATAAATTATTAATGTGCTCAGCGTTGGGCTGATAAGCACAAGGCTGGCAGTTGGAGACCACCCAGGTACCTCAGAAGAAAGTCCTGGCAATAAACTCCCAAGAAAACCAGCCATCAAAAACTCGACAGAGCACAATCCTGCTTTGAGGCACGGGCCGCCAGGGTCAGGTTCAATTCCAGGGCAGATGGTTAGTGCTTAGCTCATTGGTGCTTTGCAACAGTCCACAAGCCTGGAGGTGGGAAAAGGCTCTATGTTCAGAACTTCCGGAGGCCCTGGGATCATTCAACCCTCTGAGCCACCCTCTCCAGACCAGGAGGCAGGCATCTGAGACTGGAGAAGGCAGCTACACCATGCACATCACTTACTCCCTATGAGGCAATTCAACTCAACTAAAACAGGCCTTCCCGGGTGTGGCAGCGTGCCCCAGGCATCTTGTGCTACTCATGATCCTGGGCCCCATGCCCATTCCTGACCCCGTTTTATTTCCAGGCTCAGTCTTCTCTGGTTGAGAAAGGCTTTCAGTTGCCCTCGGAAGTTCATTGCTCAGCAGGTGCTTTACTCCGTCACAAGCAGGGCCTCTGTCTGGTTCTCCGGCAGGGCAGGAGTGAGAGGAGAGGTCAGCAGGACCTACAATACCCCTTAGGCTATTCCAGTAGGGAGGGGGTATGGTGGGGGGGCGGCTGCAGTACTGTTTGTACTGTGGTGTCAGTTTGAAATGACCCCTGGGAAGTGCCAAAGGTGAGCACAACAGGCAGTTCACCAAACCATGAGTCCACCTGGAGGTGGCTTGGAAGAAAGACCTGGGACTATCCACTTCTGAAAGCCCTGAAGTACACATTGCACCCCAACACACTCGGGGCCACTGCTTCAGGGTTGTTTTTGGAGCTTGCCATCCAGATGGGAACCAAAGACCCAACTTGTGCTGGGGACACACGAATCGCCGGCTTTCGGCTTCTGAGTGAAGAAAATGTTCTTCGGAACCCTCACCATGGGCCCGACCCCGCCACACACATAAGCCGGCCCCTGCATGGACTCCCAAACAGGAACGTTCACAACTGGCTCCACTGTGCACAGCTCAGCCAGAATCCCGCCCCTGCCGGAACTCCCAAACATCAGGGGCCCTCTTGTCCGAAGTATGGAATTGAAATAAAGTATGCCTTTCAGAGATTAGATCATCCCTGTGAAACCCCACAGACAAAACGAAACACTTCTCATATCCTCCAAGCCAGAGATTTCCCACGGCTGTGGGCTTTATTGGCCAAGTACAATGCTATCTGTGAGAGGCAGGGAGGAGGGCAGCAAGGACAGCGATGAACTTCGCGTGAGGCCTATCCAAAGGCACTCAGCGTGCGTGCCTATCTCGGCAGAGGGGAGCGGGTGCCGGGGGAGGGGGGAGGCAGGGAGGACAGGTCACGGCGATAAAACGGATCAGGATATTAACATTCAAGATAGCTATCAGAAACCATTCTAGTACCCACCGCTGGCCAACTGCATTCCCAAACAGAAAAATAGAAATTAAGCTGTTAAACATGCCAAAAGCAACCAAGAGCTCTGCAGCCTGGGCAGATGGCTGCAGAGGGCTGGCCCAGCCCCAGCCAGTGAGAGGGGAGGCTCAGAGGGCCTGCCGAGGGTGGTGAGACCTCGGCCTCCCTAACTGGAGCCGTGGCGGAGAGGGTGGTATAACTTCCTGGCCAAAGCAGTTTAATCACAAATTCTGCTCACAATGTCATGGCGGCGATATTGAAGCCAGGCAGGGCCCAGCCCTCCACAACCCCGACAAACTGTCAATCACCACCACCACTAGGCTGCTGGCAAGACATCAAAGCAGGCCTCCTAGCCCCAAGCCGCCCCCTCCCCCAGACACACCCTGTCAACTATTCCCAGGGTTAGCCCTGACTCTCCCCTTCTGGGCTCTAGCTTTCTCCCCCTTGCTCCCTGTGATGTAACCATAGCCAACAAATCTTATCCAACCTACGTGCCCCGTCTTCTCAGCTACTATTTGTTTTCTTTGACTGTGATGCTCTTTCCAACTCCAGGGCCTGGGGCCCTCCCTCCAGTTGGAGCCAGAAATAAGTCAGGGGTGGTGGTGAGGTGGTGGGAGAGGCGTGTGCAGCGCTCAGAGTCAGGCACACCAGGGCTGAAGTTTAGTTCTATCACTTAACCAGCTTAGGGACCTCAGGCAATTACTCAACCCCTCTGGAGGTCCGCCTCCGTCTCGCCATCTGTGAAATGGGTGGTTGCGACACTCACAGCAAAGTCCCTGGCACTGGGGAAGGGCTCTGTACGTGGCGGGGAAGTGTGAGAATTACAGAGAGGTTACACACATCTGACTTGTCCTCAGCTCTGTGACTTACTGGCTGTGGGATCTGAAGCTACTAGCTACCTACCTTCTCTAAGCCTCGGGTCAGAGAGATGGGGCCGATAGCCATTCCTGTGTCATGTGGGCTGCTGGGAGGTTAACTCAAACAATCTAGGTCAAGAGCTAAGCCTGGCGCCTGCTACAAACTATGTGGTGCTGGCCCACCCAACAAGTAAAGGTGATTCTCTGGGCAGGAGGCCAGCTTGCAGAGGGGAAGCTATGTCACACTTGCCCAAGCAGTGCTGAGGCGCAGGGACCACATGGTCCAGAGGCTGAGGACTGGCAAGACATGCCTGGCTAAGAGGCGGCTCTGTGGACAGAAGAACTGTATCCTTAATGTTTCCCGATCCTGGCTTGTGGTAACCTGTCCACTTCCCCTTGGTGATGAGGATTATCTGTGAGTTCTGTGTGGTGGTTGCAACAAAATCACCAAACCCAGCAGAGAAGCTGGGTCATGGGAGTTAGGCTGGGTCATGGGAGCTAAGAGGTGGAGGCATGTCTGAGCTCACAGAAGTCACCCTCAGGTCGATGTGCCCTTGGATTCTCCTCCCCATTTATGCAGGCAGAGGTCAGCCGTGGTCCCCACACAAAGTCTTCAGCCGGCATCCGGTGCCGCAGCACGGGGGGCATCATCCCCAGAGTGGTCTTGGTGGCACAGCCCTGGGACTGTGCAGCAGGGGGTTCAGTTCTCAGCTGTCCCTCCCACGCTCAACTCCTTCCACTGCAACACACCTGCCTTGCGGGAGCTGAGAG